CTCTGAATATATCATGCCAGTCCTTTTTGGCCTGCCAGGTCTCTTTGGATAGGTCTGTTGCCTATCTTATGTTTCTACCATTGTAGGTTAAAGATCTCTTGTCCTGAGGTGCTTTCAGGATATTCTCTTTGTCTCTGAGACTCGTGAGTTTTACTATTAGATGTCAGGGTGTTGACCTATTTTTATTGATTTTGAGGGGGCTTCTCTGTGCCTCCTGGATTTTGATGCCTGTTTCCTTCCCCACATTAGGGAAGTTCTCTGCTATCATTTGCTCCAATATACCTTCTGCTCCTCTCTCTCTTTCTTCTTCTTCTGGGATCCTAATTATTCTAATATTGTTTCATCTTACGGTATCACTTATCTCTCGAATTCTGCCCTTGTGATCCAGTAGTTGTTTATCTCTTTTTTCTCAGCTTCTTGATTTTTCCATCATTTGGTCTTCTATTTCCCTAATTCTCTCTTCTGTCTCATTTATGCTAGTAGTTAGAGCCTCCATTTTTTATTGCACGTTATTAATAGTCTTTTTGATTTCGACTTGGTTAGATTTTAGTCTTTTATTTCTCCAGAAAGGGTTTTTCTAGTATCTTCCATGCTTTTTTCAAGCCCAGCTAGTATCTCTATAATCGTCATTCTGAACTCTCATTCCAACATCTTACTAATGTCCATATTGATTAGGTCCCTGGCAGTCGGTACTGCCTCTTGTTCTTTTTTTTTTTGAGGTGATTTTTTTCCATCTTGTCATTTTGTCCAGAGGAGAATAGATGAATGAGACAACAAAATGTTAACAGGGTAACAATGATCCCAAAAAAATATACACTAAACAAATCAGAAGAGCCCTGACACCAGGGGAAAAGAAAGGGAAAGAAAGAAAAAAAAAGAAAAAGATAAAGATAAAGATAAAAAAAAAAAAGAATGTGATCAAATATGATCAGGCTGGTGAATAGAGCAGTGCAACACACTAGATTTTGGGCGTATTTTGGTCTGTTAGAAGGAAGTGCCTCCCAAAATTTTAAAGACAGGAAAACTTATATATGTGCAAAATAAGGGTAAATATGATGAAGGGATGGAATATGACTGTGATGAAAATTATAAAAGATTTTATAAAAGGAATTGATAGATAAGAAGTTGGTTGAAAAAAGAAAGAAGAGAAATTAAAGAAAACGAAATAAAAGGGAGAGAATGTGATCAGGGAAGAGACTAGAACAAAGCCATACACTAGAGATTTACGGTATATTTTGGTCTGTTAGAAGCAACTGTATCCCAAAATTTTAAAGAGGGAACAACTTATATATAAACCAAAAATGAGGTTACCTACTATGAAGGGATAGAATAAGACTCTAAAAATGAAAAATAAAAAAGATTTTTAAAAAGGGATTGATAAGATGTTGGTTTAAAAAGGGAAAAAGAAATATTCAATAAGAAAAAGAAATTTAAAAAATTAACTTTGAAAGACTAAAGAATCATGGTAAAAAAAAAAAAAACCTTGAATTCTATGTGCAGTATTCCCCTAGTGCTGGAGTTCTGCCATTCTCATTGACTGGTAAACTTGGTCTTGGCTGGCTGTTCTTGCTGATCTTGCCTGTTGCTGTGGTTCCCAAATATCTTTGCTGGAGGTTGAATTGCCCTGCCCTTGCAGGTCTGGGCTAAGTAATCTGCTCGGGTTTGCTCTCGGGAGCGTTTGTTCCCTTCAAGTGTCTGTACAGCTTTGGAGGATGAGAGTGAAAATGGCGGCCTCCCAATCTCTGCCCTGGAGGAGCTGAGAACTCGGGGCCCCACTCCTCAGTGAGCCCCCAGAGAAAAGCAGTCAATCACTCCCGTCTCCCTGGTCTCCGGCTGCACTCCATGCTCACCTGGCCTGTGACCAAGCGTTTCTATCTCTGGCGCATGACCCCGTGTGGAGTCTCCAAACCTAGAAGATCCCTAAAGTGTGCTCCCGCGCTGCTCCTCCCAGGGGAGGAAGGAGAGTCTCCCCAGATCTGCCGTTTGTTGGGTCCCTGCAGGAAGATCAGTGGCCCGACTGTGCCGTGGATCACAGTTTATGGCAACCCCGAGCTGCAAACCCACGCCTCGGCTCTGTCTCCACAGCTGGTTTCCCCGCTCTGATACCTGGGAGCCCTGCTGCACTCAGGCACCCGCGGTCTTTTTGTGACTCCGAGGGTCCTCAGACCACACTGTCCCGTGAGGGTTTCACTCCCTGCTTAGCCACTGGAGGGACGTCTCTCAGTGGAGCCAACTTCTAAAAGTTCTGATTTTGTGCTCCACTGCTCTATCACTTGCCGGCAGCGGCTGATCGAGGCTCCCTCCCCCACTGTCTATCCTCCCAAATATTGCCTTGGATTCACTTCTCCGCACATCTTACCTTCCAGAAAGTGGTCGCTTTTCTGTTCAGAGAGTTGTTGCTATTCTTTTCTTCAATCTCCTGTTGAGTTCGTAGGTGTTCAGAATGGTTTGATCCCTATCTAGCTGAATTCTGGGACCAGAGGAAAGTTAGGTCTCCTGCTCCTCTGCCATCTTACTCCTTCTCAACACCCTCCATTTCTTTATATAGCTACAAGTTTCTATCTGGTATATATATTTTTTTTCTTCCAGAAGATTTGTAAAAAATATTTCCTGTAATACAGGTCTGCTATCAATTAATTCTTTTAGTTGCTTCAGATAACTCTATCTCTCTTTTATTTTTGCATGTATTTTCACTGGGTTTGTAATTCTGAGTTAATAATGTTTTACTTTCAGCACTTCTAATGATTTCACTTCACTGCTGGATTGCAGAGTTCCCGATGAGAAGAAGTCTGCTATAAACTTTATCTTTGTTGCTCTAAAATGTGTCTTTTTTTTCTACTTCAAGATTTCCCCTTTTTAATTTTCTTCAGTTTGATTATAATTATGGTATAACTAAATGGGTTTTTTGGGAGAAATGGTTAATTTATCCCACTTAGTGTTCTTTGAACTTCTTGGCCCGGGGCTTGTATCCGTAAAGAATTTTGGAAAATTCTGGGCCATTACTTCTTCAAGTATTTCTTCTATTTCATTCCGTCCCTTTTTTCTTCTAGGGATACCAATTACATGTATCTGTGACCATTCTATATTGCCCCTCAAAACTTGTATGCTCTGTTCTGTTGTTTGTTTGTTTTCTTTTTTATTCTTTTTGCACTTTGTGTTTCCATTTGAGTAACTTTTGTTGAACTATTAAGACCAGTACTTTGGGGCTGAACAAGTAAGGCAATGTGGAAATTCTAAACATATTTTCATTTTTCTTAATTTTTTTTGATTTGTTTTTGTTCCCACTTGAGTAACTCCATCTTACTAAATAGCAAGGTTTACCAGGTTCATCTTCACAGAATGATTGAATATCATGAATTGTAGTATTAACTTCCTATCTTACACAGGTGTTCCTTGTTTACGAGTCTTGTACCATGCCCTGTGGATCTCTTTATTTGGTTCTTTAGAATGAAGTTGATAAGGAAATCAGGTTTCTTTGGGTGGGTGTAACTGGCAGATTCCTGTCTCCCCACTGGGAAATTACAGCCTGCAGTGATTCTGTAGTGCTGTTTTATTGCTCCTGAAAAACCTGGAGCCCCCAGTCCAACACTTCTAATCAGAAATAGTCTAGTAATCAAGTTGGCTACTAGCTAGCCAGACTTCATGCAATGGGGCAAGTCTAGAAGCGACTGATGTCTAGTCTTGGTGGTAACAGAATTGAAAAAGATACCAATGGTACTAAAGTCCTGGGTTAACAAACACTTTCAGATCCCCATTAGCTAAACATATCAAAAGGCTTCAATCAAATTAGAAGGTATTAAAAGCCATCCGGGGCAGGGGGAGGGTGGCTGGAGGTAGATCAGTTTAAAAAATTCTGATTCCTTATCATCGTTGAAGACATTTCACCACTATCTCTCATGGCAGGAAACCACAGAAACGTTTCTCATCATAAATATTCCCCAGGTACAAGAATAAAGAGCAAGCAATGTGCCTGTGATGCACATTCAGTACCAAAGTTGTGTGTGTGTATGTGAGAGAGAGAGAGAGAGGGAGAGACAGACAGACAGAGGCAGGAGAGGAAAGGAAGAGAGAAGGGGAGGGAGAGAAAGAGACATGGTGAGTAGTGAAAAAGCTGAAAGTAAAATCACTCGTTCAGCCCCAGTTAGTAAAACTAATTATACCCTGAGTTATAATTTAGTTTGAAAACCAGAGGATCTATTTCCTTATTCTCGCCCTTAGGACCACAGTGACAACATGCTTAGAGTAGCAGGGACCATGGCCCATGAAATGGGTCACAACTTTGGAATGTTTCATGACTCCTATGTTTGCAAGTGCCCTTCTACAATATGTGTGATGGACAGAGCACTAAGGTGAGGCTCTCTGGGAAGATGCTTTCTGTCCCAGTTTTTGGTTCACTCCTGGCTTTATCTGTGCTATATCTTTCATGTCATCTTCAGCAACACATTCAAGCTTTTAAATATTAAATAGTATAATCATGAATGCCTATCTATACCAGACCACTTTATCCCTCATCTATATGCAATATTTTTCATTAACTAATACATCATTTAAACATATTGTGTCTTTGCTGTTGGCGTGACTGACATTTTTAACTTCATCTTATCTACATAAGACCTGGTTTCAGAAAATCTTTAGTATTTATCAAATTTTCAATGAATTCAGATTGGGTGGGTTCTAGGAGAACATCCTTGCAGGAGCATAAAGAAATGATACATTCCTGCCTTGCCTAAGCAAAGTTTCCAGGGAATTTTATCTTTAAAAATCCCCAAATCCCTTTTATATATGTATTTCCTCTCTTCTATTTCCCTGTCCCAGCTCACTCAATCTAGGGTTAGTCTCCTAGGCCATTCCCCAAAATACTTGGTTCTGGTGGCTGCCAGTCACATACATTTGTTATCTCTCCCAGATACTACTGCATTTTTATTTGTGAAATGAAAAAATTCTCCCCAAAGTACTTCCTCTGAAGGAAAGTGAATTCTTAGACACATAAATAAGTATGACTACTAGCTGTAGGACTTCACAGCCAAAATGACCTAAGGCTGAATAAGATTATCTGGATAAGTCAGACGCATCTTTGTTTTTTTAAACAGCAGCCCAGATGCTACACTTTAAGATCTGACATATTTTTTCATTAAGCTGGAGGTGTTTGTGTCCATCCAGGGCCAATTCAGGTACACAAATGAGCTCATGATTTAGCAGTTGGGCAGTGGATTGGGTTTAATCTTTTAGGGCAGGTTTTGGGTGTATCATCCCCAGTGTGTCATATTGCTCCCTTCATGTTCAGCGTGACTGTGTTCCATTTTCTCTTTCCTTATTGTCATAGCTTCTATATACCTACAGACTTCAGTTCCTGCAGCCGCATCAGCTATGACAAGTTCTTCGAAGATAAATTATCAAATTGTCTTTTCAACGCTCCATTGCCCACAGATATCATATCCATCCCAATCTGTGGGAATCAGTTGGTAGAAATGGGAGAGGACTGTGATTGTGGGACTCCTGAGGTACCACCAAATACTTTCTAAAATGATCTAATTTGTTTTTCAATTGCTAAGAAGATAAACTATAAAACTGTATTATTACTCTGAAATTGTGCATTTCTTATAATTTTGCATGTGTTTATTTGTAGACATTTGTCAGGCCAGCCTTTCTTTCTTTTTTTTTTTTTAAAGATTTTATTTATTTGACAGAGAGAGATAGTGAGAGCAGGAACACAAGCAGGGGGAGTGGGAGAGGGAGAAGCAGGCCTCCAGCGGAGCAGGGAGCCCGATGTGGGACTCGATCCCAGGACCCTGGGATCATGACCTGAGCCGAAGGCAGACGCCTAACGACTGAGCCACCCAGGTGCCCCAGGCCAGCCTTTCTAACAATGACTACTGCATTGCTTAGCAGACCTTCCTAATTTCCTTCTTGGTGTTCTTTCCCCATTTCCTGATTTTTAAGAACCACTCAACAACTAGGCTTTGTATCCTCATCCCTCTCCTTCTGGCAGAAATAACTTCACTTTTCTTATGTGGCTACAACCTGCTGAGCAGTTACTTTAGGGTCAACACCACAATAACGCTCAGAGGGTGTAAATGGCTTGCCCAAGGTCACGGAGCTGGTAGAGGGAGAGGCCAAGATGAAGACTCAGGTGTTTGTTTTGGCAGTCCTGGGGACATCTTGCACTGAGATTTAGTTCTTCTCTTTGTGACTTAAGAGTTTATACCATTAGGAGTCCTAGCCTGATCCCACCCTATTGACAAGGCAGCCAGGGTTCTGAATGGGATCTTTGTCTCCGTTTTATCAACACTTAATATGAGTGACATGTCAAGGCTTCAAGGGGTCATCTCTTCAGTAATTTCAAAATACGACCACAAATGTATTCATTCTATGAGAAAGAGGAATTTTTCCAAGATGATATTTATATTTGAAATAAGAGCAAGAGTTTTAACCCTAAAAAGTTGTAATTCTCTTAGGGAACCTAAACAGCTATAAGAGGAAGTTTCCAAAGTAGGAGCTTCCTCAAAGCCTCATGCAGATGACTGATTTCTCAGAAACAAGGTGGGGAAAGCAAGACACAGCCTATTGCTTTATGCAGAGTTGAATTAAATGTCAAAATTGCATAAAGAACTATACTTCTAGATTTTTAGTACATGTCCTAGAGATTAATTTTAGTGCTGGATAGGTACAAAATTGATGAGCTCAACTAATTATGTTTTTAACTATTTAGATAAATTTTATTTTATTTTATTTTATTTTCCTTGAATAACAGGTTTATTGCTCAGATAAACTTAAGAAATATTACATATACTATTTGCCTCTGGAAAGTCACAGTGAGCCTTGTGTATTAAAGGCTCTGAAAAGTTCCGCAGTCAACAGTTGCGCTTTTTAATTTTTTTCTTATTATGTTCAATTAACCAGCATATAGTACATCATTAGTTTTTAATATAGTTTTCAATGATTCATTAGTTGCATATAAATTTTATTTTTAAAAAATATCCTTTTTCCTTTTGTTTTCTTTCATATTTTACCAAAAAATAGATCATTTTCAGTACTACCCTGGGAGGCTGAGTGAACTAGAGGAGATACTCAAATTTAAAAAGATGTCAGTAGACTTCAGATATGTGACAAATCACCAGTGGCTCCAAAATCTGTTTTTCTAATGTTGAACTTTGTTCTATCTTTTATTTTCCTGAAAATTATTTTCAGACTATATCACAGTAGGATCTGTATGATAAAAAAATATATTATGAATTGTAGTGAAACAAGAGCAAAAAATTGAGACCCAATCTGGCATTTGCATTTGTTTCTGGTATGTCTCAGGAATGTACCAACATTTGCTGTGATGCTAAAACTTGTAAAATCAAAGCAAGTTTTCAATGTGCATTAGGAGAATGCTGTGAAAAATGCCAGGTAAGATTATTATTTTATTTTATTTTAATAATTATGATTACTGTTTATTTTTCTATATTAAAATCTCAGTGATTATGTTAAATGAAATAGCAAAGCACTAGTTTTCTGTCTATAAAATAATGCTGCCTACCATTTATATATGAGTGTTTATAAACATGGGCTATTTGATCCCTCAACATCCCTTTGAATTAGGTATTATTATCTCATTTTGCTCTTGAAGGAACAGAAGCTCAGAATAGAAAATGTGCAACATAATAGACCCACTGAATGGCAAACTCCAAATACGACCTGTTCCAAAGCCAATGCTGGGGAACAATATCTGCTGCTGCATCTGATGCCACAGAGCCTTCTTGCACCAAACCTCATAATTGGTTGCATATTCCTTTAAAAATAGGTTCAGTGGAAAAGCTTTTGTTTTTTTTTTCTTTTTCTTTTTTTTTTTAAATTTTATTATTATGTTAATCACCATACATTACATCATTAGTTTTTGATGTAGTGTTCCATGATTCATTGTTTGTGTATAACACCCAACGCTCCATGTAGAACGTTCCCTCTTTAATACCCTTCACCAGGCTAACCCATCCTCCCACCCCCCTCCCCTCTAGAACCCTCAGTTTGTTTTTCAGAGTCCATCGTCTCTCATGGTTCATCTCCCCCTCCGATTTCCGCCCCCTTCATTCTTCCCCTCCTGCTATCTTCTTTTTTTTTTCTTTAAATATATAATGTATTATTTCATTCAGAGGTACAGATCTGTGATTCAACAGTCTTGCACAATTCACAGCGCTCACCATAGCACATACCCTCCCCAATATCTATCACCCAGCCGCCCCATCCCTCCCACCCCCCACCACTCCAGCAACCTTCAGTTTGTTTCCTGAGATTAAGAATTCCTCATATCAGTGAGGTCATATGATACATGACTTTATCTGATTGACTTATTTCACTCAGCATAACACTTAAAGCTTTTGTTTTAAGTAATGTGGGGTCTCCCCTATCTTTAGACTTTGAAGTCACTTCAGGGTGAATTTCTTAGAAAACAGACATAAAGTAAGGATTCTGTGTCATTTTCTCTGTGGGGTGTGTTGACTTTCCTTTCATGTTCAAGTTTAGGATTTTACCTTCTATTGTTGCAAGGAATTCTCTATTATGATTATTTGTTTATATGCCTGTTTCCTTAGTTAGACTGACTTCTGAGGGCAAGGGACTGATTCATCCTCAACTACCACAGAGTTTCATACATTTTTTTAATTAAAGATTTTATTTATTTATTCATGAGAGACAGAGGGAGAGAGAGAGAGAGAGAAGCAGAGGGAGAAGCAGGGATGCGGGACTTGATCCCAGGACCCTGGGATCATGACCTGAGCTGAAGGCAGACGCTTAACCATCTAAGCCACCCAGCCACCCCAGTTTCATACATTTTAAAAGCTCAAGAACTGTTTGCAGAAGGAATGTGTAGATAGATGGCATACCAGGTTATAGGTAGTATTGGGGGATTTTTTTTTTTAATGTCAGAAGGAGAGGAAAGAAATAAAAGAGGCCAAAAGGAAGAAAGTTTAAGAACTTAAGTCATATTTAACAAGTGTTGATTAAATGCTATTTGTTGGAGATTGTGGGAAATTAAAAAAAAAAGTAGTTTTTGACTTCAAAGAACATGCTGTTTCTTTAGGGTAATGATATACATACCCGAAACAGATGAAAATATAGTGCATGATTAAATGCCCAGGTAGACATTATAAGGATATATGCCCTTTGTGTAATGCTTTCCACTTAAATTTTCACTTAAGTTCCATAATGACTCTGTAAAGGAAATATTAGATGGGGAAATGGATTTTCAGAGAGATTAGGTCCCTTTTCTAAGGCATACACCTAGCCCCTGGCAGAGCCAAGATTTAAACCCATATCTTCCAAATCCAAATTCAAGGCTCTTCCCACCATGTGTAGGAAGAAAAGGCAACAATGTGCCCTGAAGACATCAGAGGAGTCTTCGTGGAAAATGAGGCTGTCACTAGTCTTAGAGTAAGGCGTAGATTTTAGATAAGTAGACAAAAAGAGAAAAACACTCCTAAATGAAGAAGCTGAGGGAAGGAATAAAGTTAGATCAGGAGGTATAAGCATGGCTCACGTGATGGCTGGTAAGAAAGCTTGTCTGGCTGGAGCAGCGGGGGTTGAATTTGGAAGGTCATGTATGATCTAATTAAATTTTGGATCCCATTCTGTCATCAATGTTAAGATACTGAAAGTTTTCTGGTGATATAGGGAAGCATGCTTGCTCACCTCAACTAGGGAAAGATATGCTTCCAGTATCCATACAGGCCTCTTCAGATCTGCATAAATGACAGAAGTTGTCTAAGGTTTCTCTCAGGCAGTAAGAGCAAAATTTGCAGGAATAGATTGCAAGGAATTAATACATCAAATGCACATCCAGTTATTTCTCCCCCATAAGAAATCATTTCATAGGAAGAAGTGAATTGAAAAAAAAATTTGAGCATACAATAAAAGGAATTAAGGATTAGGAAACATGATGCCTGGGAAAGTCTCAGAGCACACTGATCTGGTGCTTGTAAATTTACCTTCCTTAATACAGAAGATTCACTTTGCCAATAAATCTCTAAAGTTGCAGATGTAAAGCTCCTTGAAAATTCTGACAAAGATGCCTTCAATAAAGGAAAAAGTAAATCCCTTCTTTGCATCTAAGATGAGGCTTGGTTTTCTTCTGTACTTTTCTCATTGATATTCTATAGTGCTTGCACCATAAATTCAGAAATATTGATTACTTAAAAACTCAGGCCATTGGCAGAAGTCAATAGAAGTGATATAATAGGAGATGTCTTTAGTTTATGCAGTGCAGATGTAAGCTACAATAGAATGATGCCTCTAACTACCTTGCCAAAAAAATGCCAAAGGGAAAATATTATTTGCATTAATTTGAGATATTAGAGTAAGTCAGATAGAAAAAAGCCTTCTCTTCATTTTTATTTCCCTGCAGTTTAAAAAGGCTGGTGCAGTGTGCAGACCAGCAAAAGATGAGTGTGACCTGCCAGAAATGTGTAATGGCAAATCTGGTATTTGCCCTGATAATAGATTCCGAGTCAATGGCTTTCCCTGCCAAAATGGAGAGGGCTACTGCTTGATGGGGATGTGCCCCACGCTGCAGGAGCAGTGCACCGACCTGTGGGGACCAGGTAGGAGGACAAGCCCCAGTGTTACGGGCATTCCTGCCTCTCTCTAGTTACATACAAGGAAAAATCATGTTACCGTGTTATAACAGATGACAGTGTTTAATCATGGCCAAAGTAGTATTCTGTCCCAACCTTCTTTCTTGGAAACTGTGCTACACCTCCAAATCTTGGATAAGTGCATTTTAAGACATAAGGTCAATTTGGGGATTTCTAGATTCAACAAATAAAAATAAGGATGGACCAGTCAATTTGAATTTGAATTCCAGATTAACATTTTTTTTTTTTAGTATCAATATGTCTCATGAAACACTGTAGGTAAGCTTATACTAAGAAAACTTTGTTTATTTGAAATTCAAATTTAACTGGGTAAAGCAGGAAAGGTTATCCAATGGGAAAAACTCTCTTCAACAAGTGGTGTGGGGAAAACTGGACAGCAACATGCAGAAGAATGAAACTGGACCACTTTCTTACACCATACTCAAAAATAAATTCAGAATGGTTTAAAGACCTATGTGTGAGACTTGAAACCATAAAAATCCCAGAGGAGAACACAGGCAGTAACCTCTTTGACATCAGCCAGAGAAACTTCTTTCTAGACATGTCTCCAGAGACAAGGGAAACAAACGCAAAAAATAAACTATTGGAGCTTCATCAAAATAAAAAGCTTCCACACAGTGAAGGAAACAATCAACAAAGCTAAAAGGCAACCTATGGAATGGGAGAAGATATTTACAAATGACATATCTGATAAAGGGTTAGTATTCAAAATACATAAAGAATTTATAAAACTTAACACCCCAAAAACATATCATCCAGTTATAAAATGGGCAGAAGACATGAATAGACATTTTTCCAAAGAAGACATGCAAATGGCCAAGAGACACATGAAGAGATGCTCAACAGCACTCATCATCAAGGAAATGCAAATCAAAACTACAATGAGATACCTCTTCACACCTGTCAGAATGGCTAAAATCAACAACACAAGAAAGGACAAGTGCTGGCGAGGATGTAGAGAAAGGGGAACCCTCTTGCACTGTTGGTGGGAATGCAAACTGATGCAACCACTGTGGAGAAGAGTATGGAGATTCCTCAAAAAGTCACAAATAGAACTACCCTATGATCTAATAATTGCACTACTAGGTATTTACCCAAAGAATACAAAAATACTAATTCAAAGGGATACATGAATTCTGATGTTTATAGTGGCATTATCTACAATAGCTAAGATATGGAAGCAGCCCAGGTGTCCATCGACTGATGAATGGATAAAGAGGATGTGACATATTAATATGTATATATAAATATATATATGTAGATATATTTATATAATATAAATAAATAGAGGAATATTACTCAGCCATAAAAGAATGAATCTTGTCATTTGCAATGACATGGATGGAGATAGAGTGTATTATGCTAAGCAAAATAAGTCAGAGAAAGACCTACCACATGATTTCACTTATTTGTGGAATTTAAGAAACAAAACAAACAAAGCAGGAAAAAAAAGAGGCAAACCAAAAAACAGACTCTTAGCTATGGAGAACAAACTGATGGTTACCGGGGGGAGTTGGTTGGGAGAGATGGGTGAGATAGGGGATGGGGATTAATGGGTACACTAGCTGTGATGAGCACTGGGTGTTGTATGGAAGTGTTGAATCGCTCTGTTGTACACCTGAAACTAATATAACACTGTATGTTAACTACTGAAATTTAAATAAAAACTTACAAAGAAACAAATTTAACTGGATATCCAGGACTTTATCTGACAACCCTAATCAAGATCCTTCTCAGATAAGTACACCCTTAGAAGTCTCTGTGTGTGTCTGTGTGTGTGTGTGTGTCTCTGTGTATGTGTCTGTATGTGCGTCTGTGTATGTGTCTGTGTGTGTGTTTGTGTGTGTGTGTCTCTGTGTATATGTCCGTGTGTGTGTCTGTGTGTGTCTCTGTGTGTGTCTGTGTGTGTGTCCGTGTGTGTGTCTGTGTGTCTGTGTGTGTCTCTGTGTGTGTGTCTCTGTGTGTGTGTCTCTGTGTGTCTCTCTGTGTGTGTGTCCGTGTGTGTCCATGTGTGTGTGTCTGTGTGTGTCTGTGTCCGTGTGTGTCCATGTGTGTCCGTGTGTGTCCGTGTGTGTGTGTCTCTGTGTGCGTGTCCATGTGTGTCCGTGTGTGTGTGTCTCTGTGTGTGTGTCCGTGTGTGTGTTTGTGTGTGTGTGTGTGTGTGTGTAGGGGTGGCAGGAGTGCTGGGAGATGGGCAGAGCATAAGGGAAGGGGGAGGGAAAAAAAAGGACTGTGGGAATTCAGATGAGCAATTTGGAAAAGTGAAATCTCTTAAATGCTTATTTTGCCCATAATACTAAAATTTTAGAAGCCATATTCTCTGATATACCACAAAAAAATAAATTAAAAATAAACTTAGCAATCTCCAAAACTGTAAACTAAAACTTAAATTGTACTAAGCAACCTTGATCAGAAAGACAATATAAAAAAATATCAGTTCTTTGGACTTTCTGGATACGATGTCCATTGTGCACATTCCTTAAATGACTGAAGGGAATGTTTTAACAGGGAAAATACATATTCCTAAAAATACTTGAAGATGGTTATCACATGCCAGGAACTTTTCATAATTCCTGAAAATATACATAAAACAAGATAAAGGAAAGCAACAAAAATCAGTCTTTCACAATATACCCAGTAAAAAGGAAACCTGAGAAATACAGGGATTAGAACTTAGAAAAATTCCTGAATTAAAATAAATCCTTTGTATCAGGCAAGGGTGGGCTGAGACACAATTTGAGGAGCATAGCTTAATACCGTTGGTGCATGGGCAGGTGCACTGGCGTGCAGGAATCTGGCCTCAGCAACTCTCCCGCTTACAGGTAATGCAGACTCACATGCTAAATTACAGGTGGAAACAAAGATGTTTGTGTGGGTTAAAGAGAGACTCTGTACTTTCTTGACTAACTTTGGTATATAGCAGAAACTAGGGAAAGAAAATCTTTTGCACAGAGTTGAAGCTCTGAGCATCCCCTTTATTATCTGGTGATAAATCACTGCAGTAAATACTATTACCTTCTCCTTTTGCCTGACCCTTCACTATCTGCCTCCCCTGCAAATCTGTAAATTTCCCAGTACCTAGACACTATGTATTTTGTTCACAACTGTATTCCCAGTGTGTCCCAGCACATTGCCTTTTGTAAATGTTCAAAATTATTGAATTAATCTTGAACATATTTATCTGTTATTGGAAGAGGAAAGATCTTTTAAATCACACATTTAAAGGTAGCCCATATAAAAGATCAGAGAACAGATTGGCCTAAATATAATTCCAAATTTTGTAATTCCTAAGGGATCACAATTTATTTCAAATTAATCTTCAAAGTTTGAAAAGTCTTATATATAAGGAGGGAGATCACTCTCTCTGATATCAAGTCATTTCTATAAATCATTTGCAATTCCAAATATTGAAAATGCGACCAAGGCATTAACAGGCAAATTGTCATAAAGAAGTCCAAATGTCCAAAAACCATTAAAGTCATTTTAACTTACTAGCAAGAAGTATGAAGTACTGACACATTGATGTGTCAGGAAATGCCAATATAGTAAGAAATATGAATGAAAAGTTGATTCCTTCAACACTTGTCAAATTGGCAAAACTTTGTTACAGTTAATGCTCAGTGTCAGTGAAGATGTGGCAAAACACCTGGTTTTATACAGTCTGGTAAGAACATGAATTAGGACAGTCTTTCCAGGATGAATTGGAAAAATGTATGTACAACTTAAAAAGAAAATGTACTGCTTTCCCCAGCAAGTGTATTCCGGAGTATTTTTTTCACAAAGGATTTTTCAGCCAGCACTTTTAAAATTAATAACGGATAATTGGGAAACATCTCAAAGTCCAAGAATAAGGCTCAGTCAAATAAGTTATATAGTATTTTTTCAATGCAGCTTTTACAGCTATGAAACTGCTTAATATTTAGTGCCTGGGGAAAGCACAAGTATACTGTTATTTGGGAAGCAGCGTGGTACCAGGTGTATGAATGATACTTTCTACAATATTAGCCGTAATAACTCTGAAGTTTGGGATTAAGAATATGCTTTTTCCTTATTATTCATGCCTAACTATTCAATATTTTCAGTGTAGATATTTTATTATTATAATAAGGAGCCTATAAATGTTACTAAGATCAAATAATTAAGAAAATATGATAATAAAACTTATTTTATCATCTTGGACATTGAAACATGAAATTCATTTAAAATGATTCAGGTTTACAGATAAACCAAGAGGTTAAGGCACTTGGCCAAGGTCACACAGCTGCAACTTAGCTCCTGAACTCTTAACCACTGTATTCTATTGCTCATCTGATGAGGATCTAAGGAAGATTGCCTGAGAAATTAAATATGTGGTGCCTGCACAAAGCAGAAGTTTGACTAAGCATAGCAAGTAATTGTGACATAACAAGTATTAGCAGAAGAGCATCCCAATGTCTGCCTGTGAGATGTTAATGTAAGGATTGTGGCTCTCCTAGCTAAGTCTTCATATTTAGATGGATTTTTTTTTAATCTTCAGCAAATCAACCACATTTCCAAATATTTAGATGGCCATTATTCAAAATTTAAATATTTGAAGGGTTATTTTATTGTATTTTTTAAAAGATTTTATTTATTTATTTAGAGAGAGAGAGTACATGAGGGGGAGAGGGGCAGAGGGAGAGGGGAAGGATCTTAAACAGACTCCAAGCTGAGTGAGGAGCCTGTTCCGGGTCTCGATCTTACAACCCTGAGATCATGACCTGAACCAAAATCAAGAGTCCCATGTTTAACCAACTGAGCCACCCAGGCATCCCTAAAGGATTATTTTAATTTCTAGCCAGTTTTCTCAATAACAAACTATTGCAGCCTATATTTCTGACAATGTCCAATGGGATTATGCCAGAATAGTACTTCTCATGCTATATATTTCATTAATTTTATATTTCATTAATCCTTTGTAGCATTGAGTATCTTATCTCTTTTCTTTTCTAATATGTCCCTACTCACCATGCCTGGTTTCAGGGACCAAGGTTGCAGACAAATCATGTTATAGCAGGAACGAAGGTGGGTCAAGGTATGGGTACTGTCGCAAAGTGGACGACACACGCATTCCCTGCAAAGCAAGGTGAGTGGCCTTGTTTGAACCTTCCTGCTCCTCAGACTAGAGAAATCATTCACTTTCAGACACATGTTCTGATTTATTGCAATTAAAGCAAAAGTTAATTTGGACATCATTCATTTAGTCAGCATTCATTAACTATTATGTGCTGTGTTTTAGACTAGGCACTAAGTTAAAAGACGAATAAGAAATGAACTCTTTTTTCCAGTCCCTCATGGTGGGTGCTTTGGAGGACATCAAGTACAGTCATCATGAAATTGAGTGAATGTGTGGATGAACACGCAGCAGCAGTGAATGGGCCTGTATGGAAGTCTATACATGAATTTTTCAATATAAGTTAGGCACTTTTCCATCTAGGTACTTTGTTATGATTCTAGGAGTAGAAATATTTATCTACTCAGAGGAATAACCAATACAATGCTTGTATAGTTTTATTTAAGCTTGCCATGGCATTACAGAAAGAAAAAAATACAGTAAGAGAAAAGATTGACAATTCACCTGGAGAGCTTGTTTTACTTTTTGTATGGATATTCTGGAAAAAAAATTTCTAGAATATCAAATGGACTTGAGATTTTTGTATAAGATTTTTGTGGTTCTACAATTTTAAGGTGACTTTTAAAATTCAAATTATAATAGGTTAAACTTAGTACCTTCTCCAAATTTCACACATACTAAGTAATGTATAACAAAAGACTGAACAAGATAAACATTTCTCAAAGTTTTTCTTTTAAACAGTGGTTTTTTCCAGATGATAAGTATTACCAAACTATACTTTGGACATAGTGTCATCCCTTGGAGAGTCTGAGCCTAAAGGATAATAATATTCCATGGCCTCTTCTTTCTAAGAAATCAGGGTGGATTCAAAAGGGAAAACAGTTATGTAAAAAGCAATGTGTGTGTTTTCTGACAGCGAATATGTAGTTCGAGAGGTAGCGAGCGGGAAAGAGCGTAAGGTGGTTCCACTTCCCTCTGTTAGCATGCGCACACATTGTCCTGAATGACTGTATGATCCCTGGATCATTTCTGCAACTAGAGGCACAAACATGTCATTCTTTCCACAGGCTGACCTCCTAGTCACTTCTGAATAGTCATTGGCTGTAGTGGAGAGTAGACCTGAATAGTCATTGGCTGTAGTGGAGAGTAGACCTGAATAGTCATTGGCTGCAGTGGAGAGTAGACCTGAATGGTCATTGGCTGTAGTGGAGAGTAGACCTGAAAGTAGGCCTTCCTTATAAAGCTCTAAGTGACTCAAGAAAAACACCTCTTCAGGTTTGGAAAGAATGTGTGCCTTTCTCCACTCCTCAGTCATATTTGCTAACCGCCACCAGAAACATCAGGAGAATCTGATTCTGTCCCTTTCAGAGTAGTTTTTCACAGCCCTCCTCTGAATTCAGCATAAAGCAATTGACTCCAATTTTATTGGCCCTGACTTTATTCACCAGTAGTGAATGGCTTTCCTGAGTGCTGAGCTGTTTCATCTTTATTTGCAGGGAGACAGTTCTTTCAGTAACCCCACATGATGCCTTGGGGTGTCACCCAAGGCTCAGCCTTACGTAGACACAGCTATAGTTGGGAGAATTATTCTGCTGCAATTCATGAAAATAAAAAAGTAACTTTAGCTGAAACAAAATAGAAACTGTCTGCGTGCCCTCCATGATATTAGAAGTCCATCCTCCTTTTATCTGGAGCATGACCTTCATTCCCAGGTATTTCTCATGGCCTATCATGGCTTCTGCAGCTACAGCCATTGCATTCCAATAAGCCAAAAAGAGAAAAAAATGAGAAGTGGGACATACTCTTCATGTAACGCCCTCCTCAAGGATCTACACATAAGATTCTGCTTCCCTCCCATTGGCCAGAACTAGGCAATTGGCCAAAATTAGCTGCCTAGGAATCTGGGAAATGTGGGTTTTGTTTTTGAGCAATAATGTGCCTTGCTAATGCTTTGTGGTTCTATTACTGAAGAATATGGGGAAATTTGACATAAAGGGAGAACTAGGAGTCTCTACTATGAGGAGAAATATGATTAGTTAAATACTGATAGCCAGGGAGCTGATTTAGAACTGCATAGGACTATAATTTGGATCCTGGTATTTCAACTGCAACAAATTTGGCTTTTCCTCAGTGATGCCATGTGTGGGAAGTTGTTCTGTCAAGGTGGGTCAGATAATTTGCCCTGGAGAGGACATATAGTAACTTTCCTGACATGTAAAACATTTGATCCTGAAGACAACAGTCAAGAAATAGGCATGGTAGCCAACGGAACTAAGTGTGGAAACAAGAAGGTAAGTTGAAAATGTAGCTTTTAATCAAAATGTTCTTTTGTCTTGTTTTTGTTTTGTTTTGTTTGTTTGCTTCTCAAGGACTCTTTATGTTTCGTGGGGCACAGTTTTCAAAGCAATACTTAATGCCATTCACTTATGCATGTGTGAATTCATCCCTCCAATAATATTTAATAAGTAACTATTATGTGCTTAGTACTAGGTTATTAAACCTTGGTAAATTTTATTGTCCCCAAATCAGTAGGTTCTCGATAAATGATAGCCACCCTGATAATAATAAAGATAATAATAACAATACTATTTATTTTTACACAAATGATAGGTATTATAATATTGCAGATGATGTGATATTAACATGTTTTCCATAATATTTTTGTTTGGAATGGGTGCCTTGTATCATGCACAAAGCTTAGCTCAGTGCTAAGTATCAGTCTCAGGTATGGACTGAAGAGGTGGATTAAGGGAATGACCCATGAGGAATAAAGTGAAGTAAGGAACTATTCTTTAGAGGACTTTCCAAACTTTTTAAATAAAAATTATCTAGCTTCATCTTCTTATTTCCAAAAGAATGCTGTGATTTCCCTAATAAAAGGGTAAGTTTGATAACAATAATCATAGCTAGTAATAGAAGACTAAATTCCAAAGAGTCAGCAATTTGCAGAGCTGAAGCCTTTGGGTATTGATGTCAGCTTGATGTTTTTCACATCACTTTCAGATTTGCATTAATGCAGAATGTATAGATATTGAAAGAGCCTACAAATCAACCAATTGCTCCTCCAAGTGCAAAGGACATGCTGTAAGTTTTGAAAATGTTTCCCCAAGCTTGCTGAATCTTTTGTAATTTTAGGTCAGTCTTGATGATGCTAAAGTAATGTTTCAGCATTAAGTGATTAAAATTATTAAGTTTGCCTTAATGCTCAGTAGTTTGGTTCAATGAAAAAAATTTCTTCTAAGAACCTGGTATTGACATTCCTATGATGGATTCATACATTTTGTAGATAGCTGAAAGGCTGCAGAGTTGGGGTTAGTTTCTGATGAATAGGGCCCTTGGGTTGGTGGTCAGCCTAGTGTGGCAACTAATAGGATCACTGCTTCTCTAGGTGTGTGACCATGAGCTCCAGTGTCAGTGTAAAGAAGGATGGGCCCCTCCTGATTGTGATGACTCCTCAGTGGTCTTCCGTAGGTAACATTACACGTCTAATCTGAAAAATTGCTCTTCTAAGCTTTTATTTCATATTACATAAGATTTCATTGCCACTTTTCTCTCCTCTTGGAATTCTTGTTCATTCCATAAATATTGAATCTACAATATTAATCTTCAAGGTCTCTAACAACTTTTTAGTCATATTTTCCACAATCTTTTGCTTTTACTATACATACAAAAAATTTCCTCAAATTTTATATGTGTAATCTTAATTTTAATTTCCTAGATGTTCTTGTTTTATGATTGTTCTATTTTTGTAGGAGCTTTGACTTAATGTATAGGTACAATATTCTCATAAAATTCTCTAAGAATATGGCTTGGATTATTTTTGTAGGTTCAATTCTGTTCTTTGAATCATCTCTATTTCTTTTGAGTTTGATTTGTTTTTCACCCTGTCTCTTCTTGTGCTATTTTTCTTCAGGATATAGGACCCTTAGCTGAGGGTGGGATTAGGTTGACTTCAGTTAGCTTTCATCGGTTTTCTTTGCATGCTTGTGTGCTTGTTGTAACTACCCATACTTCTCCAGATGGGAGATCTGGCTGTGAGCTCTATCAGTAGATAGATAGGCCTCCAACCAGACCATCAGGGTGGGAAACAGCCAGGGTGTGGATCCTCACCTCCAGTCACCATGGGGAGGAGTACTTTGCCCAGAAGAGAGCTCCTCAGTGCATTTACTTCCTGAGAGAACTGCTTTCCCTCAGCACTCTTTCCTTGATCCTCCCTTCTTTCTCATCTACTGTGGGTATCTGCAGTTAGCCTCTGTTCTGCTCCTCAGGCCCTTGCATCCCCCATTGCTTCTAGAGAGCAGTTCTTGGGTCTTTGTCTTCACTATTTTTCTTTATACAAAAGGGATGGGGATAGGGATGCAGATGGGGTTGGGGTTGGACCTGAACAAACCATCTGTCTCAAGTTAAGATTCTCTGTGGGCTTCCCAAGAAAGAATAGCATCTACTGCTGATGTTTGGGCTATTTTTTAAAGATTTATTTTTATTTATTATTTTTTTGGGGGGGGATGGGCAGGAGGAGAGGGAGAGAGAGAATCTCAAGCAGACTCCATGCTGAGTGAGGAGCCTGAGACAGGGCTTGATTTTACAACCCTGAGATCATGACCTGAGCTGAAATCAAGAGTCTGACACTTAACGGACTGAACCACTCAGGCACCCCTGGGCTATTTTTTAAAAATGTGTTGGTGGTGGGTATTAAGGAGGGCACGTACTGCATGGAGCACTTGGTGTTATACAAAAACAATGAATCACGGATCACTACATCAAAAACTAATGATGTATTATATGATGAGTAACATAATAAAATTAAATTAAATTAAAAAAAATTTTGTTGGTTATTTGCTAAACTTCCCAAGAAAGAATAGCATTTACTTCTGATGCTTGGACTATAATTTACTCTGTTTCTGTCTGCCTAAATCCCTTTACTTTCTTTCTGAAATTTCTAAAAGTTCTTTACTATTTTTCTAGTGCTCTATGATTTTATTACATATATATTTAAATATTAAATATATTATTACATTTATATAGACATGCAAACACATGCACATATGCTACTTAGGATGTGTTATCTGGTATTTGGATATGGTAGGGGAATAGACGCATCAACATCAATCAACTACTTATTTAGAGAATTCTTTAATGGTTTAAACACTCACTAAAAATCCTTTTAAAATATGACTTCCCTCTTCTTGAACTGTATTTTGTTTAATCTTTTGATTTGCTAAATCACTTCCATTAGTCATTTCTTCTTTCTTCTTGCATGAAACTTTCTATGTTGCATTTATAAGGATTTATTTCCACTGCTAAATAGAAAACATGAATAGATTGGATTGGATTAGATCTTTTGACTCACAGTTTTAATCTCATGACTCTCTCAAGAAGTAGATACTGATATTTAATGTTCAAAAACCGAGGCTACCCAGATTTTGCTTGTTGTTGTTGTGAAATAACCCTTTAAAAATCATTAGTTTATTTTCCCTTAAGTGTTTTTAGACTCTGAAGCAAATAATGTTTAAAAAAAAAAAGGAGAAGAAGAAGAGAGCAGGAAGGGAAAAATGAAGGGGGGAATGGGAGGGGGAGACGAACCATGAGAGACGATGGACTCTGAGAAACAAACTGAGGGTTCTAGAGGGGAGGGGGGTGGGGGGATGGGTTAGCCTGGTGATGGGTATTAAAGAGGGCATGTTCTGTGTGGAGCACTGGGTGTTATATGCAAACAATGAATCATGGAACACTACATCAAAAACTAATGATGTAATGTATGGTGATTAACATAGCATAATAATAAAAAAAGAAAACAACAACAACAACAAAAAAAGAATTGCTACTATATGAAAACTAATCATCATGCCACGCCTGGGTGTTGTTTTGTTTTACCTATTTTGATTGTTAGCGAGTGAGGTCTTTCAAACTGAGGATTTGATTCTTTCTTCAGTACAAGGAATGTTTCTGTTATTACAGATATTAAAATTGATTCTGTTCCACTTCTCTGGTTTCTAATTCAGAAATATAAATTATTTGTATCAAATATCTTGATTGTGTGGCTTTCTTGTTATCCTTTTTTGTCATTGTCTATCTGCTGTTATTTTGAGGAAAGTCTCTCAAAATTATTTTCTGTGTCATAGAGTGAATTTATGGCAATGTCAACACTCCTATTTATTAGTTATAATGACATTCTAAAATGGTCAGTGGCATTTTTGTGTTTCTTTAAACCTCTTTCATACCACTCTATTGTCTTCTCTTATTTTGTATCTTTAACAATCTATTTTCATTTTACTGAGAGTACCAAGCAGATGCCACCTTAAATTTACTTTGATTCTTTATAATTTTTTTCTGAAAGCATATATTCTATATCTATTCTACTTCCACATATTATTTTAAACCTAATCTTTTCATATTTTTATGTTCTTTCCCCCTTAATTACTTATCCTCCAGTAAAGAAGAATCAATTCCAACACAAATTGTTAAAGTATTTCTTGAAAACTTTAAATCAAAGGACTAGTGATGGAAATAATGCATTATGTGACATCAGATTTATATCTTAAGGGGATCAAGGAGGCAACTGGAGTGGTTCAGGATACAGATAGGGGACGTTTTTCTCTGAATCACTTGTTCTACTTGTTAAAGCCACTGTGTCAGGATTCAACTTCATCCATCAGGTTTTCTTTTTGTTTCTGGACACTGTGTTGGTGAGTTTGGTTCCATTTGTGGCACTACTTCTGACCCAACCATCGAGCAAAACTTCCACCAGACTGGGGAAAATGCAGTAAGGGGTCCCGTCACCAAAAGGACAGACCGCAACGGATAGTTTTCATGAAATCCAGGCTTCTAATCAAAACTTGAATGAGAAAAATTACATTTCTATTTTCACTAAACTCTAACTAAAATTTAGAATTTTCTACAATTACAGGGATGTAAGGAAACAAACCACAGTGGTATTAGTTCTCATGACTGTGTCACCAATAGAAATTACACATTTTTACATCACATTGCTGTTGCTGCATAAATCCTTAAATGTCCTATATGTGTGTTTCTAGTTTGAAATTATAGTGGCTACTAATCCACTGTTAGGTCTTATAATTTAGGGGTTAAAAAAGAAGCATATATGTAACCATATCATAAATTCCTTTATAATATTTTGACAACTGTATTCTGACATAACTGGCTTCCTTTTTAGTCCTATGCATTTTATTAATGAATTTAAAAGCACTCAGAGAAAGGGTTTATCGGCCTTATCAGATTTCCAAAATGATCTGTGGCACATAAAAGGTTAAGATGCCTGCTCTCTAGTATGGCCATACATAACCACAGGCTTTCAAGCTTCCTTAATTAAAACAATTTTTTTGTAAAATTTATACAGAAAAACATATAAATAGATATATTACATGTATTGTTTGTATACATTTATAATATAGCATATATATATATATATAATATAAACTATAAAATGAGCATTCATACACTACAGTCTGGGCCAAGAAACAGAGCATTGCTAGCAGCCCAGGCATATTATCATTTGGATTCATCCCTGTCCTAATGTCCTCTCTCTCTCTAAGGGTTAATCATTAATGTGTCTTTTATTATAAACATTTTGTTACTTTTCTTCATGGTCTTCCTTTCCAAATACACATTCCTAATCAGTAGGTTCTGTTTTTAACTATATATGTGTATGTGTGTGTGTGTATATATATATATATATATACACACACAATTATTGGTCCCCATAGTCTTCTTTTCTCTATATTATGTTTTTAAGAGCATCCATATTCTTATGGATGGAATTAGTTTATTTTTGCTATTGTGCATAATATCACAATTTTGTCATATATTGGTATAATAGTGTGTACATATATATATATATATGACAGTTTCCTTTTTTTTTTACTGCTTTTATGGATATTTCAGCACTATTTTGAGAAAAAGTTTCTATAAATATTGTCATTCAAGTCTAATTTAACTAGATCGTACCAAACTGTTTCCAGAGTGGCTGCACAATTTCACACTCCTAACAGCAGTGAATACAAGTTCCTATTGTTATACAACCTTTAAGCCATTTGACACTCACAGATAGCAAATTTTATTCCTTCTGGTGGGTTAGTAGTGATAGCACATTGGGGTTTTAATTTGGTTTCTTTATTTTCTTAAATATTTTGTTTATTTATTTATCAGAGAGAGAGCGAGAGTGAGAGAGGGAGAGAGAGAGAGCGCACAAGCAGTGGGGGCGGCAGGCAGAGGGAGAAGGAGGCTTCCCGTGGAGCAGGGAGCCCGATGCGGGGCTCGATCCCAAGAGCCTGGGATCATGACCTGAGCCGAAGGCAGACGCTTAACCAACTGAGCCACCCAGGCGACCCTTAATTTGCTTTTTTAACTAATAATAATAATAACCAAAGAATCTTTCTTTATTTGCGGGCCACTTGGATATTCTTTTCTGTGAAGTATTTGTTCAAGCCTTTTTGTTTGTATTTCTATTGAGTTGTCTCCCCTCACCCTTTTATTAACTTACATATGTTTTAATATATTTTTGATATAAGCTATTTTCAGTTATATATGTTGAAAGAACTTCCCTCCTGTGTTTTCTCACTCTCTTTGTGATATCATGTGGTTAATGGAAGATTTTAATTTCAATGTAGTCAATTTTTTAATCATTCTCTTGATGGTTAGTTTTTTTTTCCTTTGTGTGTCCTTTTCTAAAGAAATATTCCCTACCCTGAAGTTATGAATATATATCTGTATATTGTCTTCTAAAAGCATTCTGGTATTGTCTTTTCAAATTTAGGTCTATAATCTATCTGAAAGTCTTTTGTGTATGATACAAATGTTTAATTTCATTTTCATCCCAGATAGATGCCCAACTGTCATATTATCATTCATATGATAGATCATCCTTCCCAAATGCAAGTGTTCACATATGTGTCTTTCTGGGATATCTATTCTTTTCTGGTGGTCCTACTTGACTGTCCTTTGTGCTAGTATGACACTTTTTTAAACTCTGTCTTTAGAATAATTTTGATATAGGCTGTCCTTTAACTTTGTTCTTCTTTAAGAATGATTTGGTTATTAGCTTTTTGTACTTTTACATATATTTTATAATCAGATTCTCAATTTATACACATAATTCTTGTTAGGATTTACATTTAACATAAACCACATCTATGATTTACTTGGGAGAATGAGTATATATAAAAAATATTGAATTCCTAGGGCGCCTGAGTGGCTCAGTTAGTGAAGTTGTTGACTCTTGATTTCAGGTCAGGTCATGATCTCAGGGTCATGAGATGGAGTCCCGTGTTGGGCTCTGCACTCAGCAGAAAGTCTGCTTGAGATTCTCTCTCTCTCTCCCCTCCCCCCGCCCTCTCTCTCTCTCAAATAAATAAATAAATCTTTAAAAAAGTATTGATTTTCCTCTCTCTCTCTCTCTGTTTCTCTAACAAATACATAAAATCTTTTTAAAAATTTAAAAAAAAAAGAAAGGGGCACACCTGGGTGGCTCAGTCACTTAAGCGTCTGCCTTTGGCTTAGGTCATGATCCTGGGGTCCTGGGACTGAGTCCCACATCAGCTCCTTGCTCAGCAGGGATCCCGCTTCTCCCTCTGCCTGCCACTTCACCTTCTTGTGCTCTCTCTCTCTAACAAATAGATAAAATCTTAAATAAAATAAATAAAAAATATTGATTTCCTAATCATTGACATGAACTATCTATTCATTTATTTAGTCTTTCTTAAAATTAGTTCCCCCCCCTTTTTTTTTTTGGCAAAAATTTCTTAGTTGCTTTTAGTGGGAGAGTTGGTCAGAATTTCCCAAACCACTGTTACCAGAAACAGAAGAGCATACTTTCTCTTCAATTATTTCCATGTTAAACTGCATACCTCCTTCCTATCATAATATTCCCCATCTGTCTTTTTTTTTTTAAAGATTTTTATTTATTTATTCATGAGAGACAGAGAGAGAGAGAGGCAGAGGGAGAAGCAGGCTCCCAAGGAGCAGGGAGCCCGATGCGGGACTCGATCCCAGGACTCTGGGATCATGACCCGAGCCGAAGGCAGGCGCTTAACCATCTGAGCCCCATCTGTCTTATACCTCGACTTTCTCTGCAGACCTTGTCCTTTCAAATAGGGGTGTTTGTGAAGTCCCGTCAATTTCCTCTTTATTTCTTCTGATACCATGTTGCTCTTCTGAAAATAGTTACAATTCTGAGATTAGTGCCAGTATATTTTCTTTTTCGTTCTGAATCTATCTATGCTATATTCAACTGAAATGCCTCAGAATTTTATTTCCTTTGGCTTTTTGGATAGGAATTGCTATGGAGGGGTGGAAAGTTTAGATATTATTATTGTCTTAGAATTCTACTTCTGACATATCTGCCTCTATCTGCATGTATGCATGTTCACACTTGGGAACTTTTCTTGTGTTATACCAAAATTGATCTTATTATTGCCTTGCTGATCTCTAATGAGAAAGCAGTAGTTGTTCTCATTGCTCTTCAAATTTGTACCTCCTGGTCTCTAAAGTTTCAGATTATTATAAGGGAAATTAATATTTGACATAGCAAAAGATTGACGTTACACTCGTTACTTCAATGAGCAGTTAAAAGAGAAAATACCATATAGACCCAGGAAATTTGTTCAAATTGGTCTGCAACTCACAGGGTCACATAATTTCTTTTCTGTCTGTAATAATTCCGAGATGGAGCAAACACCAGTAAAACGCTCACCTGTGCCTCTGTCAATTCTCTTCTTCACGTCTCCACTCCTCATTTGCTGCTGACAGGAATATGATCACAAGGCTTCCGTTTCTTTTTCTTTGTTTGATGCCAAGGCCAAATTTTAAAAATGTTTCACTCCTTTTCTTCCATCCTCCTCACTTCCTATTCTCTTTAAACTCCCAGCCTAACACTTTCCAGTTGGTACAAACATCATCCCTTCTAAGGATTCTCAGTAGTATGATGCTTTACCTACTTCATATGACATGTTCTATATGGATTTTCCCCTTACTTCCTCTATCTACATAATACTACAGCACTCATGATCAAAATGCATTTTCATTTTACTGATTATGAGAGATTTTCCAGGGAATGCGTTCTTTGGAGGAAAGGGTAGAATGGAGTTTGTGATAAATGAAGAAATAAGGACTAGAGTGATGCATATTTGTGCGTTTCTCATACCCTTAACAGGTCTGGGTTCTCTTTGTTGTAGACTTCTCTATTGTGGTTGGGGTGCTGTTCCCTGTGGCCATGATATCTGTGGTGGTTGCTATAGTAATCTGGCACGAAAGCACCAGAAGAAAGCAGAAGGAAGTCCAGAGGTAGCCTTCTATCTTACTTTGGGGACTTTTTGACCTCTAATTTATTTTAAATTCAAGGATATGACCCAAATTCTCAAATTTAAGTCGTTTACTACAAATACTCAGAAATAAGTACAGATACATTTCTCTTGGACCAGAGGCTGGGTATCAATTTTACTGGGAAATCCGTCACAGCAATACATGTATTGTTTTTATGTTGATTACTGTATTTATAATTAATAAAAAGTTACAACTCTTATTAGTAAAGATTTTACACCCATTATAAGAATACACTGTGTAACATTTATTGGTCGTTATCTTTATGACAAGTGCTATGCTGAGTCTTTTTATAATTCATTATCTCTAATCTTCACAAGAATGTTGTGAAGTAGTAACTATTATTTCCATTTTATAGGTGAAAAGATTAGTCCTTAACTGTAGCAGTCTTGCAAAATCAGGCACTTCACACTTTTTCTTAAGTGGAAACCAAGGCTCAGAGGTTAACAAATATGTTCGAAGTCTTACCACCTAAGTTGTTGGAATCTTGATTTGCACCTACATTGGTTAATCTTTCAAACATGGTCTTGACACTACAGTTATCTTTCTAGCCTTTGTTAAAGACTAACTTATTCACATATAATAGGTTTCCTAAATATTGAATGAATAAAATAAATCATTAATTAAATGAGATAATAATTTAAATAAACGCTGATTCAACACCATCATTATTAGGAATCAAGGCTCTGTAGAGAATCTAGAAGAAAATTAGTGGTGGTGATTATGAATTCCAGGACAAGGAGTCCTTAAGAATGTCCTAGAGAGCAGGAGAAAGCCCAGTCAACGACCAAAGATGACACAATGGGCAAAGAAAATTATCAAGCTTCTTTCAAGTGTCCTCATCATGGTGAAGGAAATGTTAAGTCCTTTTATATGATATGCTTTCATATACAGGCCACTGTCTACTACTGGCACCAGGCCTCGCAGACAGAGGAGGACCCCACTGATGGTGAAGGATGTTCAGCCCCAAGAGGTGAACCATAGTTTATAGTGTGCTTGCCTTGGACGCCAGTTTGTGATTCTTTCACTGTCTTGTCCTGACCACCTACCTATCTGTCTTTCCTACTCAGCAGTATTTTACAAATCCAGTCCACTAGTTAGTATGTAGCTAGAATTTGGGGCTCTCTAACTACACATTTGGAAAATTCTCCTTTGCCTTTTTTTTTTAAGATTTTATTTATTTATTTGAGAGAGAAAGAGTGAGCGAGAGAGAGAGAGAGAGGGAGAGAGCACAGCAGGGGGAGGGACAGAGGGAGAAGCAGACTCCCCACTGAGCAGCAAGTCTGACATGGGGCTCGATCCCAGTACCCTAGGATCATGGCCTGAGCTGAAGACAGACGCTTAACCGACTGAGCCACCCAGGCCCCCCTCCTTTCCTTTTTTTTTTAAGTGCAAAAGTGTCTTGCTAAAATGCAGAGGCTGCTTTGTTGAGGTTCACAAATGCAAAGAAAATAAAGAGAACAAGGAGAGCAGAGTCCAGATGTCTCTCTCTTTCTCTCCCTCTCTCTCCCTCCCCTGACCCTCCTCCATCTCTCTTCCCCTCTCTGTTCTCCTCCCTCCCCCCTTCTCTCTCTCTCTTCTTCCTTCTCTCTCTCTTTCTCTCTGACTTTGAGTCGATTCCTTTTTCCTTTTGCCAATGTCCCAATTAAGACAATAATATGTGTATTTGTATGACAATACATGTAATATGTATAACCCTTAAAGCCCTGGCTGTGTCCTGCAAGTTTAATAGTTTTAGCAGAGATTGGCTAATGGTAATGTCATTGGAAATAATGTTTTTGATGGAAACATACCTATCTCTGACAGCTCTGGATACAGCAGAATGCAGCAGCTGGACCACTGTGATTTCCCATCCTATTTCTTGGTGTCATCGCAATTCTGATCTCCCATCTCTTGAAAGGACCGCTTATTTGGAAGTTGAATTTAGGAAACTGATCATTTAATTTAAAAATATTATTATTTTCTTTTTTTTTAGATGAGTCGGATGAAGCTCCATGCACCTGATCTGCCAGTAGAGAGCAATGAGCCTCCAGCTTCTGTCGTGAGTTAGCAACTTCTCTTAAATATTACTTCCAATCTAATCTCAAGGTAATACTAGTAAGAGACATAACCCACAATACCCAATTATTTCCTCAGAAGAATGTTAAAATCTTTGTGAATATTAATATAAAATACAGATTTTCCAGCAAAACTTTTTAAAATGCAAAATGTGAGAAGGTTTAACCTGCCCATGTTTAACCCCTTAATCTGAATTACTGTGTCTGAAAAGCTGGTAACTTATTACAAGAAGAGTACCAAACTGCTTCATAGAGTGGCATCTTCATCATCTGTCTATTGGCGCTGGCCTTATTTCTGAATTGTATATATATATATGTATATATATATGCCTAAATGAAGACACTTGAGCTTACAGATTTAAACTATTTTCATGGGTAGGATCATGAGTTCTCCATTTCTGAAAATGATTTAAGCCTTTCCATTAAGCACATCTGTTTTCAAGGCCCCATCTTTGAATTAATTTTATTTTACCTTTTTATTAGCTAATTACAAAGCCAGATTTTCCACCACCACCGATTCCTACGTCTGTGTCATCTTCTTCTTTCCTTGTAAATATCAGGTAGTCACTAATAATTTTTTAAATGTCTTTTGTGCCCCATGTGGATAGTGTCTCTAAATCTATGGATTCTTTCTCAGGATACATGCTCCCTAGGCCAACCTGAGATATTGTAGCACATAGGTTTATCTGAGAAAGCAAGGCCTACTTACTATCTATAAATTAGTATGGATATTAATTTTTTATTATTAAAAATATTTCTGTTACATAGTCATCAAGAAATGATAAATAGTTTTTATTATTAAAAATAGTTCTGTTACAAATGGTAAATAGTTTTGCTTTAGGAGGTAAACAGTCTCCTTTCTAGATGCTTATTTTGGAGAATATAAAATTTTATTATATATTTTACTTTTTAATTTAATATAGATAGAATAAGGCCTATATTAGCTACAGTTTTCTATAGAAGGTGGGGTATGAAAAACAAACCATATGTAGGCAAACCTGGAATAAAAGTTAGGCACTTAGGAAGTAAAAGGTAGAATTCATTCACTCAGTAATTACTGAGCATGTTTCTTCATACTTGGTACTCTGTTGTGGGTAAATGAGAAAGAACTAAAATTAAAGTCATTTTTTTCAAGAATGTTTACATTTTTAGTGTGAAAACAAGTCATATGTGTATAGAGCGCTTAATCCCTCACATATTTTTTTGTGCCAAGGTATGTGATACCTATGAAAAGAATGTGGTAAAGGGGAAAGTGAATGGACTCAGAGTAGTTCAAGTGGGAGAAAGATCCATTGGGTAAATGGTTGAAATTTGAACTAGAGTGATGGGGCGGTAAGCAATGATTTAAATAAGGAAATAAATATGCCTAGGATTGGGAAAGAATAGCATTTCTAGTGACCTACTATTATTTTTGTCTCTAATATAGTATAATGCCACAAAAGTACTTCCCTCTACTGTTTTTAAGGATAAAATAATGTCAACACCTAAGGTAAGAGATCCATAGGCAAACGACTATAATCTTGTCACACTCCCACTGTCAAGGAGAGAAGTTCTAATTGTGCCTTCCTAGAAGATGTTCACTAAGAACAGTAGCTGTATGATTATAGGGTGGGAGCGGAGATATGTCTTCCTTCCTAGTGTGGTCAAAACCAAGAGGAAGAAGATGGAAGGGTTTTAACTAGAAAGTGATGATGATCCCAATATTCTTTATTTTCTCAGAAATATTTCCCAGGGAGGTGAGATAGAGAACATCTCCCATAGGATAATCCCCCAGTGTCTCATAACTCTTCTCTTGATCCCTCACCTTCTCCATATTACACCAATTAGTCAGATGGATATTTGGATCCCAGTGTGGTGTTTTTCTCACATTCTTTTCCTGCCTTCCCATGTTTGCACTCCTTCACTGCGGTATATCAAATGATCTATAAAATAGGAAGTGTAACTACACAGAATTTATTTTAACTTCTTAATAGTTCAAAGTTATAGAATATCTAAGTTTTAGAATTAAATAGATCATTTAAGAACTTTGTCTTTTTCAGGGTTCCAATCCAAAAGTCTGAAGCATCAACTAAGCAAGGATGGGTGGGGTAATGATCTACTTGGAAGACTGGATAATCTGGATGGAACAGAAATATACCTACTTCCTCCTTATTATTTGCTCTTGATACTCAAGATGTTAACATATCTTGATTCATGTTGTACTTTGAGTAGACTAAACAAAAATTTTCAAGAGAAACACTCTTGAGAATCTTTGTATGAATTTACAATTTCTATCTTCCATACTCATGGGAAAGAAAAGGACTCTAAACAAACAGCTGTGGATCTGAAATCTCTAATTAGGTGACTTTCTTAGACAACCCTCCTTTTCTTACTATGATGTTGACTAATATTTCCTCAAATATTTTGAACATCTTGATTTTCTCATTTAGTTAGAAATAATTTACCCTCTAATTAAAACAAACAAACGAAAATCCCCAGGAAATCACAGGAAACTGGGAGGGATGGAAGAAAACCCTATGTTCCTCATTAGATGACTAGCAGCATCTTGACTGTTTTAACCATAAACCTGTCAAATTAGAACTGTAAGAACAAAATTATATAAACAATCTCTGATTTATATAACATCTTTTTCCTACATTATCTTTTGCAATCCTTATTAGCTGTGTCATTTGAAATTTGCTACAAGTGAATAAAACTTTATTAATTAAAATTTTTTCACAGAAATTTGTACAATTCAGTTACTGGCAAGCTTAAAGTGAACTTCACTTTCTATGTGGAGAAAGTTTTAATTACATAAATTAATAGCATAAACCAGAGGTTGTCAGCTGGTAGCTTGCCGGACATATCTGGACTACAGATTTAATTTATTTGGCCAGGATGATTTTGGTCATAAAGTATTTTAAAAATGTTTTGAATTTATTGTCAGTATTTAAAAATTGGGAGATCTTGCATAAACATCCAGATTTCCAGCTTTGTAAAAGTAATCAAATGGTTTGGCAGCACTGGAATCACATTGCCGATAGCAACCATTAGCTTAGTTGACTGATGCTGGAATAAACATTGTTGGTTGCCTTCCAAATAACTTTCTTCCTTCTTGTTTTCAGAACACCAGTTTTATTCAGTTGTCCATATTTTAGAAAAAGGCAAACCTGACTCCATCTCCAGGTTAAATCTCTATCATTTTAAATCAGTCATAATAATCTTATTTCCCTTACTAGTGATTGATTTGGTTAAGTGTATGACTCTCCCCCTCCCCTTTTCTTTGCCAATGAGACAAGAAAAGAGATATGTTGCAAAATTTTCACAAAAGGTATCCTGTCCCTTCTTCTGGATGTTGGGATCTGGACAGCCTATCTGGTAGTGTTGCAACCATGTTGTGATTATGAGGTCAAGGCTGATATAATAAAACCTGGTCTCTTAAAGATGTCATTGAATTGGTAGATTAATAACTGCTGGAGTTACCCTAAACTTTGCTGGGATTTCCTATTATGTGATCAATAAAATTTCCTTATTGTTTAAGCCATTTCAAGTTGGATTTTCTTATTTGCTACACAAATCATCCTAACTAATAAAGTTGCTGCTTCCATTATTAGGGTACATGCTTTCCATGTGTGCAATTAGGGCCACTTCATCATCACCACGATTTTTGTTTTGTTTTGTTTTTTTTTACTTGGCCTGCTTTGCCCATTTCCACCATGGACCTGGTCCCATACCCCTTCTTTTCCATGGGGAACTTTATCCACAAGAAGTTCATTTCCCCTTTTAGTGTGAGTTTCTATACAAGCTCAATCCTCAGCATACCCAGAGTCCATCTGTCAAATCTCTCCTATTATAGCAGCCTTTCTTTCCACGTGGGAGTTTGCTCAAGAACACATTAAAAACTATAACTTTATCTTTGGGGTTAGGTTTCAGAAGACCTTGCCCTAACCAGAAATAAATCCCTATTTCCCATGAGGCCACAATCTTACTTATGACAAACCTGTAGATCTTTGCTCTATTGTTTGCTTTCTTTCTTTGTTTTTTGGTTTTTGTTTTAATTCCTGTCCCTGTCTCATTCTTAATATTGATAAAATGGAAATCTTTAACCTATGAATCTTCAACTGGCCACCACATGACCTGAGCTAGAAATAAAACTTATGCTATCAAGAAGAACCTTCCTGTAAATTTTGAAATGATGGCACTAGGTCTCTGATGTGGAGGCCTCAGAGCTCCTTAAGAGGACAGACAACTGGAGGACAATGATGGAGAAATGATTCTCTTATCCTAAGACTTTGAACCCAAGCCCTACAGAGTTTCCTACTGAGCTGAACTGTAGAACAATTTAGACAGTTTAAAGCAAAGACTTTGATTTCACAGTCCTGTTTCCAAATTAGATCTGCCACTTACCAACTTTGAAGGAATTGCACAATATGACATTTAAAACCTCAGGTATACCACCAAGCTTGCTTTTATAATTAGTTATTTTTACTTTCTCTGCTTTAAAATAATAGACTAAATTATGGTCTTTTTCAGGTACTCTATGACTGGTATACCATATGGTTTCTCTAAATACTCCTTAGCACCTCACCAAGTTATTGCTTTTTATGATATTTGAAAATGCTTTTAACTTTGCATGAAATGACAAAGTTGTGCGAAGTATGAGTGAAAAAGAAAGCAAGTTTTAGCTGTAATTAGAAATTATGGAAAGGGTGGAGCTATACGATTTAAGTGAGTAATAATGACAGCTAAATGGTAAAGAATCAAGGGCCTCTGAGTGACAGCTAGCAGGGAACTGAGCCTGTCAGCCCAACAACACTCGAGGGACTAATTCTGCCAACAAGCACTGAATGACCTGGGGAGCAGCTTCCAACCCAGTTGGACCTCAGTGGCTACCTCATGAAAGAAACTGAAGCAGAAAACGCAGCTAAGATTTGCCCAGATTCTACAAAAACAGAAACTATGAGAAAATAAATATGTGTTCTTTCAAGCTGCTATGGTTCAGAGAAATTTGTTATGCAGCAATAGATAACTACTACAAAGGAGTAGAGATCAAATGTTTCGAATATTCCAGACAGGTTTAGGTAGACTTAATCACTATCTTTAACAGGAATTCCACCATCTCAAAACTTTTTTCCTTTCTTTCTCTCTTTATATTCTTTCATTTATCCTCTCTTTTTAAAAAGTATCAGTTATCCTCTTAAGATTTCTGATATCCTGTCTTCTCATATATCATGTTTTCTCTCACATCTGTTTGCCTGTTTTCTTGGTCTTTTTGAAGAATTCATGAAGTTTATCTTTTAAACTTCTTATTTATCTTTTATACTGTGAATGCTCCTTTTTGCTAATTTTAAGGCATTTTATAATTATTCCTCATATTTGCTTAATAACAGTCTCTCCATTCTTATCTCCATTCAGTTTTATAAAGGCCTGCTAATGAACTATTTTGGCCTCTTGTTTCCAGAATTTTACTTTTAAAATTCAATTAGTGAAGCAACTTCTGTCTAAATTTTATTAGTGCTTCTCAAAGTAACTATTTTTCAAAAGTTCATCCTTCCTCAGCCACTTGAGTACTATGCTCCCCGTCTTTCACCGACATAATTATTTTCATAGGTGATGCATTCCTATTTTCCAGTTGGCTCACCCTCGTGTTTTAAAAGTTCTATCCTGAACTATAATATTTTTACATTTTATGTCTTTGATGATAGAATCTATCTCTTCAGCTAAAGAATTTCAGGACAACTAGTATTCTGAGTGTAATTTGCAAGTAGCTGGGGCCATGGGTAAATCTTGCATATTCTCCTCTGCCCAAGATTCTCTTTTATTTTGAGCTAAAACTGTCTACCAGGGCCACATCAGGAGTGGCAAGCCTTGTTGTTGATACTGAGATCTACCTCATCAGGCCTTCCTGACTCATTATGGGAAGGCCTCCACCAACAAAACCTGCAACCATCTTGGCATATCTGCTCTTTAATTTGCCTTGTCTTTTCTGCTGCTTCCAGAAAAAGACCTTCCCTTGCCAATGACAACTTTAGACATTGCTTAGCAACTAGCCCCGGGCGGTCTGTTATGCTGCTCATCAGTAGTACAATATTACTATTATTATCATGCTAAGTAAGTAAGATTGTTATGGAATAACCTAAATCCCTAAGCAGAAGAAAATTATGGTATGTAATTTATTGTGAAGGCATCTTCTTGATAAAATTTAACTCTTCTCTCTCATGCCTAGTGTTGAAATCCAAACTCTTTTTTTTAATAAATTTAAAAAAATTATTGTGGTGAGAATGCTTGACATGAAATGTACCCTCCTAACAGATTTTTAAGTATACAATGCAATATTGTTATCTATAAGCACAATGTTGTACAGCAGATCTCTAGAGTTTGTTTATCTTGCATAATTGAAATTTTATGTCCATTGATTAGCAACTCCCCACTTCTCCCTCCTAGGCCCTGGAAATCACAATTCTATGCTTTGTTTCTATGAGTTTGACTACTTTAGATACTTCATATAAT